GAATCCGAAAGAAAGTTGGTTTCAATTTCTCTGAAATAGAAATTATCATATGAATCATTCGTAAATAAGTCATCATCATCATCCAGATAGGCATCAGTAGAAGTCCATTCAGCAACAAGCTCCTAAAGAGGTGAAATTGAATGTTTATTATTTGTGATAGAAATTTGCATGACATAAAAATAGTAATACTGTATTTACCTCTTTCGAACTCAAATGTGTATTTACATTTTTTTGCGGGATTAACATACTTTGTAATAATTCATCTTCATAAGTTATAAAAAGTATGATATCGGACATTATAAAGACAAATAATAATAATAAGGTTATTGATTTCAATAATTCATGAACATTAGGGTAAAAAGCCATTTTGCCAAAAATCTCGCAAGAGGTTCGGTAAAAACTTCATATATATTATCATTAAATAATGCTAAATAGTTGTTAATAGAAAAAATGTTATACGTATTAAATACTTAAATTAAGAATAGAAAGGTTTTTAGACATATCACATTTCAGTGTAATACGAATATGCCTCATATCATAGATCATACATATTGATGTGTTTAAATTGCATCGCGTTATCGTTTAAAACTTTGATCTTAACCAATTTTGATCGTGATTAGGTGATTGTGTAGCAATGACGTACATATATTATAGTTTTTAATATTAACGAAATTTCAAACTTGTGTTACACCTATGAACATTTCTGCTTGTATAAGGGAATGATGGTTTCACGGACTTGAGGGCGTCTTATACTCGTGCTGCGCTGCACTGTGCGTGCTCTTGATCTTGCATCTACTGCTTCGTTCTGAATAATTCTCTTATTTATACAAAAGGTTTGAAATATTTGAGGCGCAAAGAACAACATTTTTGTGCTTCCCGTTTCCGTACGTGCTATCTTTTTGAAGTTGTACGACAAATATTTACGATTTTTATCTCATCGTCACTGCTTTTTCATGATAACGATAAATGTTATTTAAAATCAACTCAAACCAGAAAAACCAGTTTTTAAAGATTTGAATTATCGTTATTGGTTTTTTGTGAGCTTAAACGTCATTGAATTCACATATGACTACTATTACAAAGTATAACATTCTCATATGATTGTTATTATTTTGTAAGTCCTACCTTTAAAAGGGTCTGGCGTAACGCGAAATCAAAACAAACACGGGTTTTCGGGATGTAGTTCCAGATCTTCCCCAGCATCGCCACCAAAATTTTTCGATCACGTGATTCGACAAACTTCTTTAGAGTTTGCTTATGTTAGGGTTTGGGTTAGAATTAAGGTTAGAAAAGGGCTGAAACATAGTAAAATTGGCCAAGGATTTTTTTTGTTAGAGCATGAAAGGTGGGTTATTAAGCAAATTTTTGTGATAGAAGAAAACGAACGTTTGGTTTGGATCTTCCTGGTCGTGTTACGTTACACAAGGCGTGAGTTGTTATTGGATAATTTCACGTGATCGAAAATTTTTATTAGTATTTTGGTGGTGATCCAGGAGAAAAATGAAAACAATTACACCAAAGTGAAAATGTTTATATATAAGGGCTCAAATTTTGAAAAATTTTACAATTAAGGGCCAAAATAATTTTATAGTAAGATGTTCGTGATTTTTTGAACGTCATCATTGTATACATGTATTACTTTATGCATTTTATACTATAAATAAAATTTCCCTTTAGCCAAAATATAGTTCGATTATTAGGCGCAAAATTTATCAGTTCTAAACCAATAGGTCCATCCTGTACCAAGACTAGTTACGAAACATGAATCACACTTCTTTGAAGATATTTAGAACCACAAAAATTCATAGAAAAAGTTAAATTATTTTCAAAAATTATTATAATTTTTACATGCAAGATGCTAATTTAAAAAGTAATATATTTAACTGTCAAAAAAGAAAATTAAATGCGAAATTACGACAAATACAATAATAATTTAAAGTTGCAATACAGTTTACGTACAGTGTTTACGACAAATAATGCGGCAAGTTCCATAGTAATTACATTAATATAAAAAGCTTACAATAATAATTTTCAAATTTTGGATTCTTATTAGAGGCCTGCATTGGGTCCCGTGGCCCGGCCCTTTTGGCGGGCCGGGCTATAAAAATAGATAATTTGCAGACCCCTAATCCTTATATGTAATTATTTCCCCTATATTATACATACTGATTTTTTCGATTTATGTAGATCGGGCCCCAAAAATTGATTTAATTCCGGTCAAATTTACAGATCATTTGGCCTAATGAAGATGAGTTTAAAACTCATCTCCGTTAGGCCAAATGGTCTGCAAATTTGACCAGAATTAAATCAATTTTTGGGGTCCGATCTACATAAATAGTAAAAATCAGCCCATGAAATCTAAATTAGATTAGGGTCAAAGTGTTAGTATCAAGTTAGAGAAGGTCTTAAGGAAAAAAATTTTTTTTTATTAGTACATATAAGGCAGTTCATATACAAAATATTGAGTTACGAGAATTTTAAATTTGATTTGTCAGCGAAATTTTATTGCAAAATAATGCCTAGTGATTAACGTTACCAAAAACTTTTGTTAATCATGTGTCGCCCAATCAAATTGTTCATACAGTCACGATTAACGCCCTGGGCGTTATTCCAGTGCCAAGAGTAAATTTTCCCAATGCAAATAATAAGTTTATTACTTAAAATCTTCGACCAGATTATTATGACGTTATGATTTAGTCATGTGAGTGTTGCAGTATTAACTTTAATCTCCCCACCCCTATGAACTATTTAATGTTATGTAAACGAATAATCAATTTGGAGTGGCATATGTAGACGCGATTTAATCTTCCCCAGTATCGCCGTCAAAATTTTCACTTTCACGTGACCGCGTTTAAAAATCTTTAAATTCGTTTAAGTTAGGGTTAGCGTTTATAATAGGGCTAGGTTTTAGAGAAGTAATAGTAAAATCACTCGAGGAATTTTTTTGTTAGAGCTCAAAAGGTGGTTTCTTATGCAATTTTTTGAGGAATAAGCGATTTTTGAAAAGCGAACGTTTTGTTTTGATCTTCCAGATCGTGTAACGTTACATTAAAACGAAACACGCTATTGGATGATCATCACGTGATAGTGAAAATTTGACGGGTAGTTCGCGATTTGTGACTGGTCATGTGATTAATCAATTAAATTAAAGTTGGAAATTTTTTGTTACTTGATTGTATTGTACTAAGAAAATTACAGCTTTATAGTACTACATATGTAATTCCTATTTTATGAAATTTTTTTCATAATGGTTCAAAAATTAATTATTTAATATGAATTGTTCTTTTTAATAAAATTTTCTCTTAAGGTTTACCGTTTGTGAAGAAGGTATCTTCCTCATGCAGTCAAAGAGGCACAAAAGTTGGATCACCCTTATAAGGTCGAATCAACCTTATATAGTCGAAGTATCCTTATAGAGTCCTATTTTTATTTATTTATTTATTTTTTTCTTGTGTTTTCTTCAAGCGGGTTTCGTCAACATGAGCCTTAAGAAGCAATGGGATTATCCGAGTAGTTTTTTAAAAAACTAAGGTTTCCAGTTTCAATGATTAAGTGATATTGAATATTCTTGCTTGGCTATATTTTATTATTTATTTATTTTTTAAAAAAGATTTCAATCGTTATATAATTATCCAATAAATGTTCGAAATATAGTATTTAATGATTCTTTTTATTAATTGATACTTGATAAGTTCAACCTATTCTAGTTTTAATAAATATATGAGAAATTTTAATTACGCTAGTCAGGGCTGAGTCAGTAAATTATAAATAAAGCCCAAAGTTTAGTTTTCTCTTTGTGTCACTCATACATAAAAGATAAGGTTTGCTTTTTTATTACATATTAAGGAAATTAAATAATCATTTAAACTTTAACGAGCTTGAACTCAGAAATTTGATATTACTGATTATTAAATTTTCTAAGTTTAAGCTCTGCATAGTGAAAATTTAAATTCACACTTAGTGGATGTTAAATTACAAACTCAGTCTTGAATCAAGTTCTTAAATCAAATACATTTATTTAGCTGAATTGAATCCTTCGAATAAATTCGTCCAATCAACTTAATTCTATATTGTTAAATCATTCAATCCAGGAACTAAATTCTATATAAATGTATTATATTTTCATGACTTAAGGACGGACATCCCTGTTCACATTTACAGGTTTTCACTCGGTAGCACTCATTTTAAAGTTATTAGCAGATCATTGGAAAAAAGGAATCGTTAAACAAGTTCTTATTTCTTTATGTAATTACGTATGAGGTTTTATGCGAGATTGAAGAATCTATAGTCTACGTAAGGAAATTATAAATCGGAAATTAATCGATTTCTTTTTTTAATGATCTGCAAATTTTGCAAGCTGAACTATGATCAAATATAGTTTTATATGTAGCTCGGTTATCCATGACATTTAGAGATGGGCAAATTTATTATGTATTCTTATTTAATAATACTTAATGTTATCTAATTTTTTGAACATTAACGATAATTCTAGTTTTAGTGACAAAAATTTACATGTTTATTTAATCTCAGCTTTAATTAATATCATTTCTTACCGTTATCATCATGTGATAGTAATAAGTAAGAATTTGCTTAACATTAGTAATATTACTTGATATTAGTTAAACGATAAAAAATAAGAAGTATTGATTACTTAATAAATTACTTTGCCCATCCCTAATGACAATTTGCATGCCGCAAAGTGAAAATCAAAACATATAGTATCATAAATTTTGTAATACTTTATCATTAGAATATTTCACTTGGCGACACTTATATTGTTTTTTGATTCATCATGAGTTACTTTTTAAACTATTAGAAATCAATTCAAAATGCAACATCATTGACTATCAAAGAATAGAAACAATTGCTTATATATTTGAATAGAAATAGAACCAAATAATACTATAGTATAACAGCAAAATAATTAAACCAAATTGATATATTTAAGTCTTATTCAATAAATGTAGATATTATGACATTATTAGTTCTCTAAATTATATCTACAAATACCACAAATTAAATATTTTCTTATCATAATCATTTCCTTCAAATATAAAGTTAATATGTTTTATTTCTTGAAATCCTTCTTCTAACTTTGGTTCAGAGAATTTGGATTTATATACATTGAATGCTATTTCTGGTAATGGTCGGATCTATAAACCCAAAGAATCAATGGTAAATTTAGTTAAAAGCAAATAATTTACTTAAGACAGTAAATATTCACATATTCATAATTACCTCACTTGAACTAAAATACCTATACATATTATTATGTCTCGCTAATGCTTCCGATGCTTGGAACCAAAAACATCGAACTGGAACCCCGTATTGTTTTGCGATATCAATATATTGCTTTCTACTTTCTTTGCTAGGATTTGTGTTATCTATAACAACTGGCCTATTTTCTTCTAAAGCCGTTTCGCAAGCCTTAATACATTTTTGCTTTGTTTTCAATGCATCCTATAATATTATTAACATATATTAAAACACATATATCGATGTTAAAGCATGATAGCTATTGCATCGTTACAATACCTGGTTCACATGCACATAACCGTCATTTACCAACCACCTTTTAGCAAATGTTGATTTTCCGCTAGCTGGGTAGCCAACTAATATAACCATTTCACATTGCCCATGCGGCAGTGCAAGTTGTGACGATGGTGTGAATAACGGAACTAAAATATGGATCGAACAAAATTGAATGAAAATATGCAAATATTTAGAGAATTAATTTAAATCATGCATAAGTGACAAACCATCTCGCGGAAGTTTTTTTGGATCGAAACCATTGTATGAAAAAGGTGCTGCTTCAACATTATCAAAAAACTCCTCAGGTGTATAAAAGTTAATTTCAATATTTTCCGCAAATTTCCTGTTCCAAATAAAGCTTTAGTAATTTAATCAAATTTATAAAACAAAAAATATTTATACAAACAATCGATTTACCGATCAGTGTCAGCCCAATCACAAGGAGCACCAAATTTCCAATTTTTAATGCGACCCGCGGCATCACCCACATAAAAGCTGTTCTCCTTATCTAATTTTGTCAAGAATTAACAAAACAAAAACTAATAGATATTACAAGATATAAAATATTTTATCTCACCAATGGTAACACCAACATTTCGTTTTTCAACAAAATAATTCCAAATTCCAATCATAGGCTTTCGATATTTATCATAACCCGTGGCAACATAAATTTCAAATGATGCATTCAACTTAAGAAGAAAAGCGGTTAAATTTTAAACAATCGTATAAGTACAATAAATAATTTGATATTGAAAGGAACTTACGTTATCTGCGATATGTTTAATCTTATTTTTAAAGTCAGTTTGCTTTTTATTACTATTTTTTTTTCCGGAATTTAATCCAGCTTGATTACTTATAATGATAATTTTGTACCTGAACATGGATTAAAAGTTATTGAGTAAATAATCACAAACTATAATCATAAAGCAAATAAAAGCTTATACATACCCTTCTTCATAGAGTTTTGCTAGTCTTTCTGGAACTTTCTTATTCAACCATTTCCAATCATCACCATCCTTTGGAAATTTGTTAGTACCTTTGGTCGTGATTAATGTCTCATCCTGAAAAAAAAAACATAAAAGCGAAATAATGTATTACAAATAACTGTCGAAAATAAAATATAAGTCTTATAATTCTTCTTTGTTATATGCACCAGATCAAATGCAGCAATATTTGAACGGCTCTCAATTTTATCACCCTTCTTGATGTATTGTCCAATTAAAAGTGAATCATGCACAGTCCAATGAATACCATGTTTTGAAAAAACACTAGAAGTAGATTCTATAGACAATACAAAGGACAGTATGTAAGACAATGATCCGAAAGAACAATATAAAAAAGAAATAAAGATGAATAAAGACAAATGAGTGAGCAATGAAAATACTAACCAACTTTAGCCTCTTTTTTAAGAACAGTATCCACCTTTTCAATGCTATTGGATCGATGACGTTTTCTTTCTTCAACAACTTTTTTTTATATAGTATTATGTTAGTATACATTTAATTATGATAAGAATTATCGAATTCCGATAAACTCAGTTTGTTTTGCATAAACATTCTAATTTACTAAACACAATAGTAAAGTGTGACAAGAACCTGTTTTCCTCTGAACGAATTTATCCATTTTAGTTCAAAGCAAGATCAAATACCACAAGATGTTTAGTGAGTTACGCGTCTCATTAAAAAGATTGAAGGGTTTATATAAAGGTAATTGTTGTATCACGTATGCACATGACCGTAAAAGTGGTATGATTTTTTTTTACGCCGATCCGATATAAAAAGAGACATAGTTTCACGAATGACCGTTATGATTTAACAAACTATAGTACATATTTACTGTTCACAATTTTTTAATAGAAAACAGCAAAATATTAAATTGTTCAAAATAATTAGTAGCGTACTCTGAACATTAATTTCGAACACTGATTGTAGTCATTACTTTCTTAAGCTACCCACTAAAGTTAATACCTGAATCCAGATTTAATAATTTATAACATTACCGTATAAACGCGAAATAATGCTCTGGGCATTATTTGAAAATCATCAAAAATAGCATACGTGGTCTCGAATTAGCGTCCATGGATGTCTAATTATTGTACCCGACTTGCGATAACGGCTGGCCAGGTAGATGTATTAGGTCTCAGCGTTTATCGTTATCAGTCTAAATATATCTATTCAAATTCGTGAATGCTTACTATTTATTGGCCGTTATGGCATTTATTAATCTAAGTAATTAAACCATATTCTTGAATGTTTACTATTTCCATATTCCTTATTTCAAAATAACGCGTCAATTGATTAACGCGCAGGTGGACATTATTTCGCACTTATACGAGAAGTTCCGGATTTATCATGAACTCCAGATTTAAATACAGTCAGACCTCTCTAAGTGCACGCCCTTGGGACTAATGTTACAAATCGTCAAAATTTTTTCGATCGATTAGTTGCAATTGATCGATTAGTTGTAACTGGTCGATTAATCGATTAGTTGTAACTAATTCATTAAGTAAATAAATGATTTTTCAATCAATTCTTTGCAATTAATCAATTAATACTTTAGTCGATTAGTTGCAACTAATCGATTAGTTGTCAACTAACCAACTAATCGATTAATTTCGATTTCGATTTGTATCACTACTTGGGACCACACTTTAACAACGCGTACTTAGAGAAAAGTGCATTTATAAAGATCAAGTATATATTTGGACCAGAATTTGAGTGTGCATTTAGAGAGGGTATGCACTTAGAGAGGGTGCACTTAGAAAGGTCTGACCGTATAGACATATGCAATGCATATATTTAAATTCGAATGCTGGTTTTGAAATTTTCAAAATTCACAGAATCTTCGATTCTCATGTGACATATGATTAGTGATGAGAATCGTCCCAATAATGCCGTGTAATATGTAATAATTATAATGAGCTACGGCATTTTGGCCGTAACTTTATTATGTTACGGAAAAGTTATGTACCTCTACAAGTGATCTATGGTATCACGTCTTTGCAAAGCGTAATTATAAAAGTATTAAATCCGTTTGAAATAAAAATTAGTGATTTATAACATCGTGATTTAAATCCTATGCCATTCCTAGTAACCAGCATAACTGGCATTAAAATGTCTTTAAAAAGTATCCAGCATTTCTCCATTATTCTCATTAGAGATTGGAATCGATAAATTCCAACTACAAGCTTTGGAGTTTAAAGCATTGATGAAAATTTTTTGATTAAATATTCGAATGTTCACTGAGTTTTTTAGACATTAAAAATGCATTACATTATATAAATGAAAATTTAGCATGATATACTAATATTATATATTAAAGAAACTTAATATTTTTACTCTTTTGATATTGCATAAAAATAATGTAGATTATTAGAGTTTAGATTAAGTTTAAAGTTAGCAGGAGTGTAACAACATTAAAAAAAAAAGTGAAAATATTAATTTCTATATCAAATTGCTGAATATTTTTTTTTTTATTAATATAATATCAAGTAGGAAAATAATAATATATGAATATATCAATTAGATATAATGTATAACTAAAAAATTATTTCTAAACTACACTATTGTTGCTATGTATATCTAATTACATCTAGTGTAATATTATTCTCTTATTTTTTGTTATTAGTTAAATTAACTATTGTTAATATTTAACTACAAAAGGAGTAGAGAATCCTTAGGATTGTTGGTTTAATAAAAGCAAGTATGTATAGTAAAATTTTGAGAAAGAAGTTTAATAATAAAAGAATCTATATTTGTATCAAAGGTAAAGGTAATATTATTAGAGTTTGTTAGTTTTGAGATAGGTAAATGGATGTTGTTTTTCCTTTTTGTTGAGACAGTAATTTCTCATGCTGATTCTTACTCATGTTGTTTAATATTTTGTGTTTGTCAGATAATAGAGTTGAACCAAATGAGTATTAAGTTTGATAATACGATAAGAAAATTATTATTTAATTTTTTTAGAATAGATTGTAATTGTTTGTAATGATCTAAGATTAATATACCTTAAATAAGTAATAATAATAAGTTATTTGTATTAAGATTTAAAGAATATTTAGAATTTGTATTATTGTATATGATAATGTTTTTAATAAGTTTAGAGACTTTAAAGTATTTATTATTTTGTTGGTAAGAATAATATCTGGATTGTGTAAATGAAGAGAACATTTCAGTAAGTGGTCAGTATTTTTATATTGGTTACAAAATGAGTAGTTCAAAGTTAGATAGAAAGTGAGATAGCAAGTATTTAAATTAAATATTATTGGTAAGTTGTTGAGTAGTATTTTGTTTCTAAGCAAATATAGATTTAGATTGGAGTTTTGAAAGTTAATAATCTCAGTTAGTAGTTAGATATTTATAGTAGGAAGGTTCCTTAATGATTTAAGTTAAAGAAATTTGTTGAATATTTGAATTGATAATAAGTTTTTACAAATTTACATAATTTGTATATTATTAGGATTTGATTTTAAGTAAAGAACAAAGAAAGATGAAAGTAGTTAAGATTAAGTTTAAGCTTAGTTTTGCTGGTTTTATGTTTAACTAAAGTATCAACTATGTTGTAGAATGTATTATTTAAGTATGATTTAATTTTGTATATAATGTAATTGATGTTTTTGTATTTAGTTAAGAAGTTTAGAATATGGATAATATCCCAATTATTTTGTTTGGTTTACAAGTTGTGGTTGTAGAGTATTGAGTATATAAGAGTTTGGATAGTGAATAAACTATTAAAATAAATATGAATTTAGTATTTAGAAGGTAAAATGAGAAATAAGAAAATAAGAACTATAAGTTCTGCTCTTGTGGAGTTTGGCACATAGGATATGAATGCATTAAATTTAATTTGTATATTATTTTCAAGCATCCAAGTAATACTAGTAGAAATATTATATGTTTATAAATTTATTATTAAGGCATCAGTATAGAAATAAAAGTTGTTTGAGTTAATTTGTAATATTTTTTTATACAGATCTATAAGTTGATTTTGGTATATTGTATTAAGTATTATATTTTGGATTAGGAGAATTTCTGAGAAGGGTAGTGAGAATGTAGAAAGAGTTTGTAAAACTGGTTTATATAATTCTATATGTATATTTTGGAATGTTTGGATTTTTTAAATATTGATATTAAGTTCAAAATAGTGTTTTTTTTTTTACGTTTTGCATTTGAGATTGATAGTTTGTTTGTAATTTAGTTGAAAATTTATAGATGTTTAAGAAATATAAATTATATTATGTGTTGTTATAGTAATTTGGTATTTTTAAAGAACTATTTGGGAATTAAGTATGTTTATTATTTTGCTAATATGTTAGTTTTCAGGTAAGACATAAAGTGTCTATGTGTTTTTAAGACTATTGTATTGATATATAATTAGGTTGATTGTATTTAGAAATGGATTAATTGGTTTAAGTTGCAGATTAGACCATATATGTTGAATAGTAAAAAAAGAAATTTTATTTAAAAGTATTTTAAACCAATTTGAAATAGGATCTCAGGAGGATTTATAGGTTCTGAGATAAATATTTTTTAAAAAAGTAGATTATGATTATCAGCTATAAGTAATTGTTTGAGAAAAAGGATTTTGTTGTTTTTAAAATTTAGTATTATTAAATTATCTAAAAGTGAAATGAAGTTGTAAATATTGTTTAGTTGATTAGTTTATTTATAGATTGTTAACTAGTAAATTAGTAAGTTATTAAGAAAAATGTTATTTTTATAAAGATAAAATAATTGTGATATTATAATAAAATTAGAAGTTTTTTTATAATTTTTAAGTATTGTATCTTGAGATAAAAATAACTTTCATATTTTAAAAAGCTATTCTTTAGTTCAATATATAGAAATTTGATTTAGGAATATGTTGGTATTAAAGCATCTTTCTATATTACTGCTACTAACTTATAATACAAGTTTGTTAAGTGTTGGAATATTAAATAGTTATGAGTTAATAAGAATATCATTGATTGTGTTTGTAAATAGATAAAGCATATATTTAGTGTATTTCATTAAAATGCTTGATAGTTGTTAAAGTTTGTTTTGAGGAGAGAAACAAATTTGAAGTAAGTACTTTAAAGATAGTGATAGGATGGTATTAAATAATCATGATATTTGTATAAAAAAAAGTTTTTTGTATTAAATAATATAAATAAATTAGAAGGTTTTGTTAAAAATTTTGTTAAGTGTAGGTTTGGTTAAGCTTTTTCCATCTAGAAAAATTCCTAAATATCTGATTGTTTCATTAGATTTACAAAGTATAATTAGTTAATTGTTAAAGATAAGTAGTAAAGGGTTTTGAGAATTGTTGTGAAATGTTTTTTTTTGAAGTAGAATATAAATAAGATCTGATATGAATAGATTGACTTGAATATTATTTAGTTAATAAAGACAGATATATTATCTAATATGATTTGTAGATTATTTTTGGTTTCATAATGCCATACTGTATTATTCATGAAAGCAAGAGGTAGTATTATTGAGGAAGTTGGTGATATAAATTGCTAAACGTTAATATATTGGCAATTATAAATAATACAATATATGACTATTTTATCTCTTAAACTGTTTTCTAGACAAATTTATTTAGATTTTTAAATTAAATTTAGTATTTTTTAAATAATATAA